TTTTTTTTTTTTTTGAACCGGGGATTGAATTCAGGCCCTTGCACTTTCCAGGGAAGAGCTTATTCTACTGAGCCATCTCCCTGGCCCCATAAACATTAACTTCTATTTTCAAAAAAACTGATGGAAATTATTAGTACGTTCGTCTTAGCTATCCTGTGTATACACTTGCATTTTCCCATCTTCTTTTTTTCTCTTTTCTCCTTTCATCTTCATTGTTTAATTCTTAAGTTCAGTTTCTTTCCCATGCATGTCTGATTTATTTCACTTATGAGTATAGCCTCTAGCTGCATCCACTTACCTAAAAAGTTTTAGTTTGTCTTTCTTTATAGCTGAATAGTATTCCATTATATAAAAGTATCACATCTCCCCTCTGAGCAACTACATAAAGGACAGCAATGCATAATACAAAATCCATGGTTGAATACCTCTCATCTTGGTCTTCTAAATGTGTCCTATTTCTAATATCTTATCAATTATTATGCATCTTTAAAATAAACTTTTTAAAAAAGAGAAGGAAAAATTAAGATTTCTTGTGGCTGGAGAGATAGCTCAGGATTAAAGCACTTGCTTAGGCAAGCTTAGGCAAGTGCAGGGACTGCAGTTCAATCCCTGGCACCACATGTTGCACCGGCCTGTCTCCCAGGGCAAGCTGAGCTGGCCACAGAGTCTGAGTGTGGAGGAACACACATGTAATTCAAGCAGTGGGGAGCTTGATAATAGGAGGATCACTATAAATCCAAGCTGTTCATGAGACCCTGTAATAACCAAATACATTTTAAAAATTAAGATTTCTTGAAAGCAAGTGTTAATAGTCAATTATTTGTCCAATCTTGCATAATTATGCCTGTTAATCTGAACAACATATTTGATGATAAAATAGATAATATAACAGCTATTGTTACTTAGCTATTCCTGTTTGAAAATCTGTAACATATGTATTGTTGCATGTTACAATGTTTTTTCTATTTGTTTTTACTTATGTTTTTACTTTTCAAAATTAAATTAAAAAAACAATTTCCATGTGTTTATAGTGTTTTTGTAGTTTTTTGTCAATAATTTTGAGTTTCATTGCTCTATGGTCAGATAGTATGCATGGAATAATTTTAATTCCTTTGCATTTAATTAAGAGTGGTAGTATATGATCTAGTTTGGATAACCTCCCATGTGCAGCTGAGAAGAATGTGTATTCTGCTGTTGCTGGGTGAAACATTATGTAAAGGTCTACCATGACAATTTCTTCACAAGTTTGGTTTAGTTCTGTCATTTCTTTGCTGATTTTTTTGTATAGTTGATCTATCTCTTTGTGACAGTGGCATGTTAAATTCGCACATTACTATTATATTATAGCTCATTTGATTTTTCATGTCTGTTAAAATTTGTCTTAAGTAGTTGGGTGCTCTTGCTTTTTTTCTGATTGCTTTCCATCTTTTGACTTTTTGTCAATAGTCTCAAAAACATTGAATTAAATGAGTTTATTGTATGCAGCATATGGTTGGATTTTGTTTCTTAATCCGCTCAACTAGTCTGTTGTTTTGTTCTGTTTTTGCAAATTGAGGCCATTTGAACTGATGATTTAAACTGATAAGTATTGGTTTATCTTTGTCATGTTATTTTCCTGCTATAGGTTCAG